TCTCAGATGTTGGTTTTAAGCAACAATGTCTTAAAATAAGCTGCTTTAAAGGCACAGTGTGTAGGATTTTGTCAATTCTTTTAGCCGAAATTGAGATAATAACTAATGACAATAATAAAAAAAAACATGTCTAATCATAGCAGACAAAGACCTTGTTTTATTATTTTTACCTTATAAAAGGCTGTTTATATCTCCATGGTCGCGGGTCGCCCTACAGGCAGCCGCCATCTTGCACCGCCATCTTGTCTACGAAGGRTCATGAAGGACAAACTGCGGTGGCGGCGTCAGAAACGGTTTTAGTTGTAATACAATAAACGTAATATTTGTTGTCTGTCATTGTAGCTGGGATAATTTTACTTATTAAAGCTCATAATCTTACCACTTGAAACATCACTAGCCCTGAAGCTGCTGGTGGACATGGTGGTTGGAATTATCAAAAGTTTTTGACACCTGAGAGACACCGTAGCAACTCCTTTGCGTTTGGAAGCAGGTGGTAGGGGTGGGGGGAGGACCAGGGAGGATGATTCAACCACTCAACCACTAGATGTCGCTGAAAACAACAAATTCTACACACTGTGCCTTTAAATATTGCAAGGTCATAAAGACGTTAAAAACATCCTAAAGTTTTAGAGATATTTGGGAAAGCTCAGCCCAGTTCTATATGAGAACCTACCAGTTTGARGTTCCCCAGGCTGAGCCACGTATTACTTCCCAAATACTGGAATTTCTACTTTTGATCTTCAGAGTTCATCAGAAGGTAATGATATTGTTTGCCTGTCTCCTGGCAGCGTGCCCGACTGGTTTCTATGGGATGGGATGTAACCAAACCTGCAGCTGTTGGAATGGCGGCATCTGCCAGCCGACAAGCGGGCAGTGTGCGTGCTCGCCGGGCTGGACCGGACKCAACTGCACAGAAGGTGCAGCAGAGACAAAGGAATCGGCTAGGATTCAGGTAAAGAAAAGGTGGACTCATCTCTGTTTCTCTCCCAGAATGCCCTGCTGGATTTTACGGAGCAGACTGTCAGCAGCGCTGCTTGTGCCAGAACGGAGCCACCTGTAACKAAACGGATGGAAAATGTGCGTGTGCTAAAGGATGGACGGGCACAGCCTGTGAACTTGGTAAGGCTCAGTGTGTTTAACGCTCCCCTGTGTTCAAATTAATTCAGAACTAATGATGATTTATTACAAATTATCCTCTAGTTTTGTTCTTGGCCTTCATTTGTAATAACATTCTACTCCGCCAACGAATTGCCAAAATCTGAGAAATGTTAACAGATCTAATGAGGTTTACACACTTTATGTAAACTATTTTATTTAAAGTAAAAAAATATATATWTCACCCCTTTTATAAAACAGGCTTACTGTGAAGGAAACCCAACATTTAAGTCCAGCTGCAAAAGTCAGCTGTGATAAATGTTGCTCTAATTTCATGGCATTCCTTTAGTCTTTTATTGAAACTTCATTAAAAACTCAACAACATCCTCTTAATATAACCTTCAGCTGCATTACTTTACAAACAGGCTGGAAGGATTGTTCTTTATTGGTGAAATTATTTTGTTATTTAACCAACAAAACTAAATTTATGGCTTAGTTTTTTTTTTAGTTTAGCCTTTAAATGCATTTAATAAAATGTGCTGTAATTCTGAGTAAATATGTTGTTTTATATTTATCCTTGTGCTGTTCAAACCCTTCAGTTAAAACAGAAAGAGCTCAGATTTGATGAAGCTGGTGGTATTTCTGGAGAGAAAACAAGACAAAGAACCTCACTTTGCAGTTTTGTTGCAGCGCTCAGGAAACTCATCAGCCTGAGCTGAATATGCTGCCTGAGCTCACTGGTTTGTCGCCAGAAGTCTGGTTTATTTGCTGGCAGCGCTTCTGCACCGCAGCCGAGTCTGCTCTGCAAAAGTTGAGCCGGTAATGAGAGTTCAGCCACTTCTCCCGGTGAGCGCTGACTTCCACTCTGATCCTCCCTCTGAGGCTGTTACAACCTTTCTCCATCATGCGGCGCCAGGTCCCACCCCCTCCTCATAATCAGGAAATCTCCAGGAATGTCTGTACCCTCTTTAAAAGTCTGTGTGGCCGCTGTGCTTAAAAACCAAGATGGTTCAGTTATGAAGTGTTTGGAGGACAGGGATTATTATTCTAATAACCAGATGGTTTGATTAAATTAAAGGTTTCCTCATAAAAAAGGCAAGTTTCCTCCCGTATACTTCACATAAAAATATGTGTTCACTCTTTTGTGCATGTTTCCACAGAGTGTGCACTGGGTCACTTTGGGGCAGACTGCCAGCAGCAGTGTGAATGTGAAAACGGCGGTAAGTGCGACAGACAGACGGGACGCTGCAGCTGCAGAGCCGGCTGGACGGGGGAGCGCTGTGAGAAAGGTGGGTCTGAGGTGAAGCGGCTGAGGAAACGTTGACGGCCTGTGAACAGCTGTACTGTGGAAACTCTGCTGACGTGATGGTGATTCGGTGTATTTTTSTTAATCAACTTTTAATCGGCACCTTCCTGTGAGCAGCGTGTGAAGCGGGACTGTTTGGCGTCGGCTGTGAGGAGCGATGCCGCTGCGCTCGCGGGGTTTCCTGTCACCATGTGACTGGGGAGTGCCAGTGTCCGCCGGGGAGGAGGGGGAGACTCTGCGACAGAGGTACAAAGCTGCTGCTGAAGGATGTGTTAGAATTTAGAATGAGGTCAAATAAAGTAAAACTCAGATTTTATTCTTTTTTCCAGTGTGTTTACCAGGTACATATGGGGAGCGTTGCATGCAGCGCTGCAGCTGTGCACAGGGTACGTCCTGCCACCACATCTCAGGAGAGTGTGGCTGTCCTCCTGGATTCACTGGCAACGGCTGTGAGCACAGTAAGGCCTGCAGCACTGAGTTGTGTTTTCATTTAGTTTAGAAATAGAAGCAGCTTCCTTTACTCTATAACAGGACTATTCAACTGGCGGCCCGCGGGCCACATCCGGCCGGCAAGTGACCAAAGTTCGGCCCACCAATTGGTTCATTCATCTCTTCAGCCCAAACCTCCGGTTTTCTACTTTAATTACTCTAAGTTCTTTTAGTTAAACATAGACATGTTTGGTATCTACAGAAACATCGGGATCTTAGCTAGAAGCTGGTAAAATCATTTCTATGCACACTCCACACAGTTAAAACTACAAGCAGTTGAAGATAAAACTATGAAAGTGAAAATTAAATTGACTTGAAAATTTGTCGTCAGAGATGTCAAAAATAAAATTTGTGGTAAATAGGAGGATAATGTGTTATTTTTGTTTTTTTTTATTATCACTATTTTTAATTACATAGGGTTCTGTTTGTTGTATTCATGATTAAATACAGCAAAATAAACTATTTCAAAGGTAACAGGTCTTATACTTGGTTTAATTACATAATGACTTTAATTGCTGGATATTCGGCCCCTGAGCTGTGGGCCTGTTAGTCTAATTTGGACAGGACTGTCCTGCCTCAAATTGTGCCTGTAGTGATTTATATTTTATTTCCTTACACACTTAATTGGGGCCTGGTGCATTCAACAGTAAAACACATTGAGACCTGATTAAAATGTTTGAGTGCAGATCAAACTTAAAGCACAGTTTGTTGTTATTATGACCTTTATTGGTGCAGGTATGACTAAACACTATAAATGTTGGTAAAAGTACTTTTAAAAGTAATTTTACACATTTTATTACAAAATGTTTTGGTTAATTGTTTATTTTCAGAATTGAGACGCATTTTGTCATGTAATATGATCTTAAGTTAAAACAGTTTTATTCAAATTAACATTTTAATCAAGCACTATTTCACTACAGTTGTCTGGCTGTAAGCATGATCAACAGTGTTATAGAAGTGTTTCTTCATTCTGGTCCTCATGGCCCACTATCCTGCTTGTTTTAGTTGTTTCCCATCTCTTCTGCAGAAGCCTGTCAATCACTCATTCATTTAAATCAGGTTTGCCAAAGCAGGGAAACAACTAAAACATACAGGATAGTGGGTCATGAGGACCAGAATTGAGAACCACTGGCCTGCAGTAACTGTGGCCCCTGGAGCAGTTTAGTTGAATTGGCCCTGGTCTATAAGCTCAGTGGTGCTTCTTCACTTAAACACAAGCTTTTGGTGCAAGAGAAGCATCTCCAGCCGATTGTACAAATGGTTGTCTCTTTGTCAGCTTGRGTCCCAGGAACATTCGGGAGAAACTGCAACCAGGTCTGCCAGTGTTCAGAGATGAACCAGCTCTGCCACCCGGTGACCGGATCATGTTACTGCGCTCCAGGTTTTCATGGCCACAAATGTGACCAAGGTATTAAAAAGGCAGCTCATTCTTAAATCCTACAAGAAAGAGGTGAATTATAGAGTGATGGAAACTCTGATTTCAGCCTGTGAAGAGGGTCGATATGGTTCCAACTGTGAACGAGAGTGTCAGTGTGAAAACGGAGGGAGGTGTGTTCCTTCAACTGGAACCTGTGAATGTCCGGCGGGATTTATCGGACCTCGCTGCAACATCTGTGAGTCTGTCTTAGACTTTGACAAACACACACTGAATGATTAAATGACTGAGTGGAGTGTGCGTCTGACAGCCTGTCCAGCCGGGCGATATGGAGTCGACTGCACCCGGGTGGCTCTGTGTGGAGATGGAGCCCAGAACGACCCGACCACAGGTCGATGTGTGTGCGTCCCTGGACGCAGAGGAGACGACTGCAGACAAGGTGAGCTGAACGTTGAAAGTCCAAGAAACTTTTAGAAAATAATGTTTAGCGACATAAAATCTTAATTTGGTCTTTTTGCGTTTGCTTTGTTTTATCATCATGAGTCATGTTTCACCTCAGTATTTTTTTCTTCAGATTTATTTTATAAAATGTGTTTTCCTCAGGCTGCCCCCCAGGCTGGTTTGGGTCAGATTGCCACCAACGCTGTAACTGCAGTAATGGAGGATTGTGTGACTCTGACAGTGGTAACTGCATCTGTGGTCTGGGCTGGACTGGTGAATACTGCAACACAGGTGCAACACTTTTAAAGACATGAACTCTACTGTAAAATGCTGAGTCCATTTTTTTATTTTTATTATTATTTTTTTGTTCATAGTGTGAAATCGTGAGGTTGATATTTTTTGCCTTTTCGTTTTGTTTCGTCCCCAGAGTGTCCCGTGGGCCGATTCGGTGCCAACTGTCAGCTGAGCTGCAGCTGTCAAAATAACGGCTCCTGTGACAGAGTGACGGGGACCTGTCAGTGTGGGCCGGGCTTTTATGGACATCTGTGTGAACACTGTGAGACCCAGTACACACATGGAAAAGAGTGGAAGTGTCCTAAGGGATAAACCACTGTGTTTCCGTCAGCTGCAAATTCAATTAGGATCAAAAACAATTACTTGAGCTCCTGTCTGTGCCAATAAAACCCTGCAGAACTAGTTGTARAGTGACTGCAGTGGTTGATTTCATTTATTCCTAACATATACCTATTTATAGTTATTTTAGCAAATAAAAAGGAACATCCCACAGTTTATTTTTGAATGTCCTCCCCATCAGCCTGTCCTCCTGGTTTCCACGGCCCGCTGTGTCAGCTCCAGTGTGACTGTAACAGCGGCGCCTCATGTCACCCCGTGTCGGGTCAGTGCATCTGTCCTCCAGGATATCATGGAGCCCGATGTCACAGAGGTCAGTCAGAACTGTTTATCATCACGAGAGGAGGATGGAAAAAAAACTTGAAGACATAAATTTTGTTTCCCGCCCCCCCATCCTCTCAGTGTGTGAGCAGGGAAGGTACGGTGAGGCCTGCTCCAAGGTGTGCGACTGTGAAGACGGCGCTCCGTGTGACCCRGCGACCGGAAGATGCCTCTGCCCCTCGGGGAAGACTGGATCCAGATGTGACATTGGTAATCTGCACTCCTTTCTCAAACTTTAGCTCATAGAAATAATAATATTAATTTAAAAAAATATACTTTCAGAAAAGAAAGACATTTGTAAACACTCTTGATTTTACAGTTTTTGAAGCGTTCAGTGAGCTTTCTTTACTTAAACCTTGATGTAACATCGGGCTTACAATTAATTTAGTTTTTTTTGTCAAAACACATTATTTTTCTAGATCAGAGTACATAAATAAATATAAAATACATCAACATTTTGAATATTCTAACTAAATGAGAATACATGCATCAATTCCTTTTTCTTTAAATGACAATTTAATTATCACAAACAATTAAAGTGTGTTTACTCGTAACAAGCTAATTGCATTTTAATGAAGCAGATGTTTGTTTTTTTCTTCTAAACAAAGCAAATTGAATGTTTTCCTCTCCCGGTTATTGGACATCAGCTTGCATATGTGGCGTCTTGACACCAGATTGGAAGTGAAAATGTCACAAGGCGATCAGAGACAGCTCCGTGTCTTCAGCTGTAAGCTTTATGTCTGAGCAGCTCCAAGGAAGTTATTCAAGCCCACATCTCAGTTGGTTAAGATATTTTCTCTTCTAATAAACAAAATGTAGCGAAAATATATAAAAAATGTTTCACATATACATATATTCAGAATGGAACAGTCATGATCTGTGATCAAATGAAACAGATGGGCTCACTTTAAAATTCTTATTTAAAACAAAAATAAACAACTTACAATTTTTCAGATAAAAGCTTCAAAATAGGAAACTACACTGCTGTTTTCTAGATGAAACTTTTGGGAGGAAACAAATAAATTAATCAAAGCATTATTTTTTTTAAACGCAGTGGACTTTCTATGTGCTGCTTTCCTGTAGATTCTTATATAAAGCTATATATTTGTCAGAATAATAGGACACATATTATGAAACTAAAATGGTGATTCTGTAGTATTTTAATTGAGTTGAGGGAGAAAATGAAACTAAACTTTGGCACCACCTGATGAAGTTATTGAGCGGTCCGCAGGTTTAAATGCCACCCTCGTGCTTTTGCGTTGACCCGCTCCTGTGTGTGTGTTCTGTTTCAGCCTGCAGAGCTGGTCGTTACGGTCCGGACTGCACGCAGACCTGCGACTGTGAGAACGGGGCGCAGTGCGACCATCGCAGCGGCCGCTGTCTGTGCCCTCACAGCTGGATCGGACCCTCCTGTCAGGAAGGTACAGTGACTAACACAAACACACACACAGTGCCAACCTCACTGCTACATTCAAACAAACAGCAGGTGAGTCAGAACTGAGGCTGTGGTCCTGCTGACTGTGTGAAATGAGAGTAAATAAGTGGTATAAGTGCTGACAGTGTTCAGTTACCATCTGTGAGGGGCAGATCTGCAGACGCTGCACCGTTTCAGTTCTGATCGAATGTGAGCGCTCGCCGAGCCGGACTCACGGCTCTTTTGTGTGCGTTTTTTTTCCCCCCCTCAGGGGGGCCGCCACGCTACACCCACGGGAGCCGRGGAGGGGACTCGCAATTCATTAACACAGCTCCATCTAGATGGAAAACTAAAACGGGCACAGAAGAGCAGGTTTCTACTGAACGGACTGAGGTGAAGGAAAGCGGCTGACAGGAAGCAGCGGCTGCAGGATTACCAGAAACAGACTCTCTGATGAGAACTGCAGCAGGGAAGACGGACACAAAATAATCTTCAAGATATGAATATTTCCACATCACGAAGGCAGCATCAAGAGACCGCGGTTGCCTTTACTGCACTTTCAGTAATTGTGTTTATTGTAACTTTTTTACAGGTACTGTATATAAACTGACAGCTTGAAGACAAATCACTGAATCTGCTGCGGCCTCTGGCACTGAGGTGGTTTTAGAAAATATATTTTACTACTTTGAAGTTATTTTTGAGTCTTCAACATGAAGTAAGACCTCTGGTCTAATGGTGCTTTACTGTAAATATCAAGTTCCAGTTGCCTAAAAATTGACTTTTAACACAAGATGACAGCATTTATGTGCACCTCAGTATTTGTACTGGAATAGATTTTTTTGTACAAATTACTTTGTATTTATATTTCATATGGATGCTTACAGGTGAACATTATTTAGAAACCTTTTTTTAAACTGACAAATTCTCTAAAATATCAGAAATAAAGACAGACACACCAAAGCTTGGTTTACCGTTCTTATTTTTTTTTATCATTATTCCATTTTCGTCAAAGATTGAAGCTGTACAACCTGTCTACGTTTCAGATTCAAGCACAGTGCAGAGAGCAACGCCTGCAAAAACAAAATCCAACAAAAAAAAGAGAAAAGGCAGAGGTGATCACAACCAGAAATATGTACAAATGTCAGAGTATGTACAGAAGATACCAGGCTCTCCCTAAGTCATCTTCAAGAGTGATTTTAGTACAACGCATACACAGCACAAGAAATGTTCTTTTTTTATGTTGTCAGTCTTAAACTGGATACATTACTGACAAAATAATGCAGCATGATGAAAAATAAAATAACTCTCTCTATGGCATTAAAGGATAAAAACATAAAAATATATTCTCTGTGTGACCTAAGCTCCATCCGTCTGTGGATTTTTTACATCGGAACAAGGAACATGATGAAACTACACTCTAAAAATGAAAAGTTGGATTTACTTTACCATGTTATGTTACCTGGTTCCACTTAACTGAGTTGAGTAAATTCAAAGCAGCATACTCATGTTCTTTGGCTAAAAAACTGGTATATTGCTTTGAATTTACTCAACTCAGTTAAGTGGAACCAGGTAACATAACATGGTTAAGTAAATCCAACTTTTCATTTTTTACAGTGTAGGACCTCTTTAAAGCATTAATTTCCCCTGCACACCTGAGGACACACACACACACACACACACACACACACACACACACACACACATGCACACAGAGGCATTAGACATGAAGTTATTTCTTAAATGTGCGTTGACATTTTCAAGAAGCAGGTCAGCACGCTCAGAAAGAACACTGCAGAGCTCACAGAATGCACAATTTAAATCAGAGCGGCTTTCCGAAACAGCCTTATTTTTTTGTTTTTTTCACCAGATGAGAAGACTGATACCACTCTAACATTATTAGCATGAAACCTGGAGGACAGACCCCACTTCCCCCCCTAAAAATCCCAATCTACCAAGCAGCATATCAGAAGATCACCTAATAATGCCTTTTCCAGAAGTGACCTTTTCTTTACGGACAGTGATGACGTGGTTCCCTTCAGGCACGAATATGTAGACGCAAAGTGAACGAGGACGATGTCTTGCATGCGCAGATTAACACTAACTCTTAAAAAAAGGATTTCTCGTTTCGGAGGCAGCAGAAAACCTTCTTTTATCTTTAGCACGAGCAAAAAGGAAGGGAAGTTTTTTGGTTTTTATTTTTCATTTCGGTTGTAGAAGATTAAAAAAAAGAGTGGGGGTTGAAGTCAGGTAAACGTGAAGATCTTTCCTCAGAAGCAGAGCACTGAAACTGTCACTACCTTCAACCCAACAGTCCAGCAGAATCTGGGTCTGACTCGGCAACTAAAACCATCCAGTAAAAATCAGAGGCGGCACCTGCCCTCCTGATCCAATCTAAGGCGCTAAAACACTAAAACAGACCATCAACTCCAGCATTCTCCAAGTTAAATTGTTTTTCCGGATTGAGTTTAAAGAGAAAAATCTCTGTGCCTTATTTACAATATTAATGTTAATTTATTGCTCTGGATCGTTTCTACTGTACACCACATTCAGAGTGTTTTTACCTCGGATCTCTCTCCTCCCTCTCGAGGTTTCAGCTCTGATAATTCTACAGAAATATTGAAACTCCTGACAATCCTTCAACCAGAATGATGCATGAGATGAGCTTGAGGAGAGAGCTCTGAAGGTGCTGCAGCTGAGCTGGAAAAAAAACCCCAAAACAAACAAACAAAAAAACCCCCGCATATAATAATGCAAATAACAGTCGTAAGTAGTTTCTATTTAATCTTATGTAGTTTATTGCATTTTTTATTTATAAAGCAGATTATAGGATGAATTGCATCTTGAAAATTATGATGCATTTTCTAGTTGCATAATGATAATAAAAAAATTGAATATCAGATCCATCAAACTGCAATTTTCTCATTTTTTGTTCTTTTAATTTTTGCTTTCTGTCGAAACAAACAGGCTGTGATGTTAATGATGCCGACGGGTGAATTTTGCTGCTGCAGGACAGAGAGACACCAGCTGTTCTCCCCTGGGTTCCAGTCTCTTTGCTGCTCGTATTTTAGCAGAGATATTAAAGCAGTATCAGTCTCAGTTTTCAGAAACCCCGCCCCCAATTAAAAAAAATTAATAAATAAGCGCGTCATCTGAAATGTCACTATCCTTTGAAGTATCTTCTGCTCCCTGCAGATGAAAATATCAAGTCACACGAACTCCACAGACAAATGAACTAAATCTTTTTCATGTTTTCCTTTTTTTTTCTTTAACTCTTGATCTGAGTAAACAGCGTTGGCTTGCGCCTGTTCTTTTTATTATTGTCTGACATACAAGACACTGCAAAACAGTTATTACAGAAGTCATATAAGTGAACTGAATTGAATAGAAGGCTAAAAGGGGACTAGTTTAGCTGTTCTCAGTCTTCACACACGCAAACACACACAAAAATCAACAGCAGAGACCTTTAATGACTTTGCGTCTAAAAAGAAATCAAGTCAAACCGTAAAGCAAATCCAGCAAAGTAACATTTACTTTGACTGTCCTTTAAACTTTAGCTGAAAAGCTCCTAAACCTTAGTGATTTTACTATCACTTTTGTCCTGGGCTTGTTTTTTTTCTTCTTCTTTTTTTCTGCTAAGAGTCAACAGTTGTAAAGATCTAATAACTACATGTGTTAGTAAGCTGAGGAGCATCACCTTGCTTGTCCCGTAGATACTGTAGGCCTGGTGATGAAGGTCCATGCTGAGAGGATGTTGTCACATGCTATCCACTTGTGCTTTAATCACAGTTACAGAGGCCCCTCCCCTCTCAGAGGACACAGAAGGGCCACGTCAAAATGTCTGCAATACTGATATGTGTCAAATCATCTGCTGCTTTAAAACGAACCTTAACCATCCTAATGCAGTTAGCCYTACTACGCATTCTGTATATGAAGGACATATTTGTTAACTATGATAACAGTTTGGTCAGGTAAGGATATATATGGAGTAAAGTCAATCCCATAAATAGATAATCTGGACAGCACATGCTTCAAGATGACTTCTATAATCTTGCCAAAAGTGAGAGTAAAACACTGGACTGTGTCCGCTAAAAGAGATGAAGAAGAAGATCTTTGGCTCGAGCCATGCTAAAAAGTCACCGGCCCTCCTCCGGTGTCCACACACACGAAAGAGAGACTAAAGACGACCACACGCAACCTCCTGAACGCACACCTGAAACTAACCATCTCCGTTCCCTGAGCTGCTGCTGCTGCCCACTGATTAACCGGACACCCCTCCCTCCCGGTCTGGGACGCAACAAACACCAACCTTACGCCAGTCAAACGTTTACCGGGGGACACACGAACCCAAGACGGTCGAAGCCGCCCACGTCTACGCCGAGAAGCCCGGAGCACAGTTTGATGCAACTGTAAATAAGGCAAATACTTGAACAAAAGAACTTGATCAAGGAGAGATTTCGGTGAGATGTGATCGCTCCATGTGCAGCCGATACTGAGTACAGCGAAAAAGCAAAAGGGGGTGGGGTGGCACAGTGAAACAGATGACTGCGGCTCCTGCTGTAACAGCCCACCTCCTCAGAGCCCCTGACGTCACAGCAACACATTTACAGGTCAGGATGGAGAAGCCTCGGCTGCCGACAGTACAGCAGGAGCACCGGAGCGATAGGCTGGACTAATGTACTGCCAGTGGTGAAAAAACAAAACAAAGAGGGAGGACGAGGAGAGGGATTTGTCAAGAGGCGATGCGATTCTATAGTGCAATGGTTGTGAGATAAGACTATTTTAATACCCATCCTCTCCTTTCCCTTAAAAACTACCCTCTAACACCTGTACTGACAGTACTAAAGTGCTGATTGTTGAAGCCCGCCGACGGGCCGATAACATCGACAACACAAACTTTTTCTTTCAGTGAAACCTCGACGGACTTTTACAGTACACAAGTGTTTGTAAACAGAACGTCTCAGGAACGAATGCATGGCTATGATACATGTGCAACAGCAGTTCACATTTATTCATACAGTATGAACTTCAACTCTTTTTTTTAAGTTGCATTCAGTTTTAGAAAAAGATATTTTAAAAAAAAGAAGAAAAATCTGGCTGCCAAGCAAGCGTGTGCTTATTTTTTTTTCCTTAAAAAGATATCTTTATTTTTCTAAATTTTCTCTATGACTTTAAAATACTTTCAGCTGAATAGAATGTGTAACTGATTTACGTATGAGCGCATATCCCTAATCTCTTTCTCTTCCGTCTGTCTTTGTTAATCCCGCCCTATTCCTGTGGAGTTGACTGAAGTTATTRCCTTTTCTTTTCTTCTCTCTGTAACTCTGAATGAGATGCCCTGCGTGGCCACGGTGAGGCCAGACTCATGCGCCAGGGTCTCACTCAGTAAAAGCTCAAGCAAACAGAGGATCAGGCAAAGGTGGGGCGCTGCGGCTGCAGGCCGGGTCGCAGCCCTGCCGGGTGGGGCCGGGCCGCGCGTTAGGAGCGATAGTCCTTTTTACTGTACGGCTTGTTCCCCAGGATGCTGTCCACCTCGTGTGTGATGGACGACGACAACTTCGGTAGAACCTGAGAATAGACACACACGATAAATTACACGCTTAACTTTTGTGGTCACTTTGGTTCAGTGTTTAAGCGGCAACKTACATGTCAACCTCTTCGGACGTGTACCTGTATAAAAAGCCTCAGAAATCCGTAAATTTTGCAAAAAATCTGTACAACTCGCACCCGAGCAGGAGGAAAGGAGAGCGGAAAAAGTTCAAAACTTATTTCTAGCGGCAGWACAGGTTGGAAGATGGTTGTTTGATGTTATTTATTGTTTTTTAAATCATCCTACAGGCTCTGACATGTTAGATAAATTAGAAAATGAGGTTTTGAAAAAATCTGTAAGACTTGAAAAAAATCCGTGATTGCTCTATACGTCCGTTTACCTGCAAAATGATGTAAAATCCTTATAACTTACAGACAATCCGTACAAGTTGACATGTATGCAGCTAAAATCCTCACAAACTGCTGTATTTTCACAAAACAACCTGTAGATGGCACTGGAGGAAGAATGAGCTCTTTTGTGCCCAGTGGGCAGCTTGGTCATGAATAAAARACTGAAAACAGTGAACATCTTTCTTTAACAGATGTCTTCAACAAATTTAATTTTGATCCTTTTCAAGAAAAGTTTTTAACCTGAAGAACCTGAAATGTTCAAATGAGGAGCAAAAAAACAAAAACAAAACAAAACCGATGCTATAATTAAACAAATTCTATGAATCTTTAAATATTATTAAATTTAAAGCGAAACCATGTGGCTACAAAAATACATTTTTGTTGATAAATATTGTTGGAGAAATGGTCATTTTTATCTTGTTTCTTTTAAAAATATATATTTTCACGTCCAGTCTGTGTTAATTTTGACAAACTTTTTTAGTTTTAGGCTCTTAACTTGCTGAAAAAACTCTTAAGACACTGTGTCTATTTTAGGATGTGCGCTAATAAAGTCGGCCAAAAAAAAACAAAACAAAAAAAAAAAACTGCAGGGCCTTTAGGAAATGTAAGAGTAACATTTTAAAACYGAAATATCAAATGAACTAAAGAAGAGGAGCATGAGCACACAGGAGTGCCACACAAAGCATCAGGCTGGAGGAGAGCCGGGGACGCACTTTACTCCAGGCCACACGCAGCGGGAGGAGAGAACGTAAACCTCCACCAGTCTGAGAACCCCATTATCCAGTGAGTCTTATCAGGAGAGGAAGAAGTGGCCGAGAGCTCGCCTCCAATCCCCACGGCAACGGAAACTCAGCTGACCTTATTAACACGGTACAGTAAAGCAGCCAAGCGTGCAGCGGCGAACTGCCCGAGAGGCCGAGCTGTACTCGGGAGTGAAGGCTGCTGCGGTCCACTGGAAGGAACAAACATCGAGCACTTCCTGTGTGCTCTACATAGAAAAAAAACACAAAACACTGAGAAGTCTCACCTGAATCGCTCCTATGTTCTCCATCAGCTGGTCGGTGTTGGACGCCCCTAAAAGGACGGAGCTCACCCCCTCGTTCCGTAGGCACCACGCTGCAGGAGACCAGTAAGCAGTGATGACAGTTCCACCATTACTAAGCACACACACATTACACACACACACACACACACACTCCGGCAACATTCATGATTCACACACACAAACATATGCTGCACAACGTGACACACAATCAAACTTTCTCCTCCAGAAACAAAATCTCTGCATGATTAAATCATCCCTATAAAACAAATGTGTGGCTAAAATAGAACAACAATACAAACCTCTCACACYGAGGTGGTGTGTTGATGTTGGCTTGTTTTATATATAAGGCAATACCTGGACTACTTCCATATGTAATCTAATTGTATAGAAAAGCACTGTTCGTTTCTTTCTGTTCATTCATTTTTTTGCTTTCAGTTCCATTTGTCTGTACAGAAATGGATTAGAACACTTTTTTCCTGTTCTACACTTTTTGCATGGAATATACAGAAGAACGGTTGGAAATGAACAGACTTGGTGTCTTTGAGAGCTTTGAAATTGATACTGAGATCTGTGCTTAATTCTATCATATGTAGATGTTCTTGGTTTTGCTTTTAAATGTGTTTCAGATTCTTATACTTCTTATTTCCTTTTTGTATTTGAATGTGTAATTATTATCATCATATAAATCATATAAAGAATTTAAGAACAAAAATAGCCAAATCTATTGGAGTCCTGTACAAAGTAAGAGAATTGTTCAATGATAAAGCACTATTTATGTTGTATAATGCTATAATTGTTCCACATTTAATTTACTGTGTTGAAGTCTGGGGTAAAGCTTGCAAAACTATCACAAATCCTATTTTTGTTTTACAGAAAAGAGCTATAAGAAAAAATACAGTCATCCATCGAATATATTGTTTTATGTGTTGAAATTATTGAAATTCTATGATTTGGTCGATTATAATATTTTACTGTTAATGTACAACATTCAAGTAAATTTTGTTAAAAGAGAGAGCTGTTATTATATTAAGGGAATCAAAGTGTTTGTGAAACCCTGGTTTCGTACGAGCCTGAAGGAGCGATCCACTTTAATCCAGGGAATAAGATTGTGGAAGATGAGCTTAAAAATGCCAGATCTTTGTATGTATTAAAGAAAATGATAAAATCTAGTATTCTGAAGAAATATGGAGAAGCATAAGTGAATCCATACAAATTGTTGTTTGAGTTGGTGTTTTAAGTTTAGCTTTGTTTTTTGTTGTTTTGTGTGTTTTCAGTTGTTTTGATTTTTGTTGTAATTTACTTTAATTTTGAGCGCAGTCTGGGGATAAAAA